CGACCTAGCGACCGTCTCTTCCGGAAATTAAATTGGGTTATCAGGACGTTAGACTTGGTTAGCCTCATTGCAAATCTGCACTGGAACTAACGAGCAGTGGTTTGAACCGAAGAGGAATGTGAAGTGCAGCATGAGGTTAGCGTAAAATAACCTGAAGTAGTGTTCTAGCATTGAGCTCCAGACATAATCTGGCGTCCGCTAGTTGCTGGTAGAATTCCAAAAATTTAAAGTTCGTGCAGATTCTATAAAACACATGAGAATAAGTAAAGAAGTTAATTAATTTGAGAGCAACCTTGTCTGAAAAAGATACGGTGTTACCGAAACAGCTGCTAAATATGTAAAAAGATACTCCAAAAATTACAATTACTGTTTTTTATTAAATTTAATAGATAACTAAAAAAATTACGATTAAATAAATGGAAGTAACAGTTAAACGAAAAATGATTGGTAATAGTATTATTTGTTATCAATTAAAACCTAATCTAACCCGAAGTTAATCTAAACCGATTGAGTTAGATCTCTTATACTTATTGTTAGTGGAACGCACCATGAGGAAATACCAATGCATGAATCTTTTAGATAATATTAACACTACCAGCGGGGCCGAATTTTCCTTTAATGCAGCCTTGGTCACCGTAAAAATGCCGCCCCATTACCCATATTCTACACAAAATCGATGAGGCTTCAGAACACTTTTTGACTTTCCACTATAAAATCGACTAGATTGAGAAGTTATTTGTTTCAGCTCGATTTTCAAAAATCGTGTATTTATCAGATTTCAACGAGATCATGGGAAGCCAAAGCTCAAAAAATTACTTCGAATGCTGGTAATACTCACAAGATCAGTTGATCCGCTCGAGAATAATATTGACGAAAAGTTTTGAAAAAAGTTTTTTTTCCTTTTGAAACGACATTCAATCTTTTTTAAAGTGGTGTTACAGGCGAATGATGAGGATAATGTGGATAGAGAAGGTTAGAAATGAAAAGGTATTAGAAAGAATAGGAGAACAGAGGACTGTATGAAAGTCAATAAGAAACAGATGAGATAGGTTGGTAGGACACCTTCTCAAGCATCAAGGTCTAGTCAGAGACATATTAGAGGCAAAAACGGGAGTTAGGAGGTGTAGAGGTAGACCTAGATTAGATTATTATTCGTAAATAGTTAAGGATATGGGTTGTTCTAGTTTTAGGGAAATGCGAAGATTAACTCAGGGTAGGAAAGAGTGGAGGTACGTGTCCAACCAGTTCTAGGACTGATGACCTTATGATGATGATGTAACAGTATTATACTATAATAAAAACTATCGGTTAAACTTTAAAATTCTTTGATAATTGCGCAGCTCTCTACTGTCAACGCGGTAAAGCAAGTAAAACTTCCAAAATTTACATCAATTAAACAATACTACATAATATGAGAAATGTAAAAATTACTTTACTCTTTTACTTATGCTTTATTATTATTAATATTATCATATAATTCGCAGTTGGAATCATAAAATAGTTACATTTACAATAAAATAGTTATTTGCATAAGCAAAATTTTAATGAAGATTAACGATTCCATCAAATCTTTGCTGTTAGTTGGCTGAATGAAGAGGTTCAACGACCGAATTTCAATATTAATTGGAAATCTGATTCATGAATCCATAGAATATTACAGCGAAATAATAATAATAATCTCCCAAAATAACGAGAGACATAGCAAAAGATGTAATTTAATAGTAATTACAGTAGTGCAAACAGAGCGTCATTTCATGTTATTTTAATTCGCGCAGCTTCCAAGTTCATAATCTCGTTATACGTTTGATGGCAATGCGATAATTTGCAATTACAGTCACGTTTGGAACAAACGAGCCTCTATTTACATAAAGCCTTTATTAAACAGTTCCATTAATTTGCATATAATGTATTTTCTTTCTGCCGTTTTCCTATTTCCTAAAGCTTTTCCATTCGGCTGATCAGATGTGAACGCCACCAACATTCATTCATCGCTCCAATTGAAAATGTTTTTCTATTTAATGCATTTACATACCTACATCAAACGACCAATCCAAATTGAATAAAACCAATATTTAAAAATTAATCAACTTTTATATTATTATTTGCAATGCCAGGTATATTCAAAGGAATATAAAAAATTGACTGAAACAGTAATACTAAAAAATAACTTTTGTAGATTAGCTAGTTATTACACATTTATTTGGTGAATACATCATCCTATAATACTTTTATTTTCGGAAACTTCATCATGATCATGAAAAATATTATCTGAAAAACAGAAATGTCATGCATGTTGAATTGTTCCTGAAGAAGAAAACCTAGCTGGCTGCTTACTGTCTTAAGAAACATGCTTACATTACGTTTTGATCACTAGACGATGTAATTTCTAAAAATTGAGCAGAAAGATCTTATTGAACATCAATTCTTTCTATCGAGTCAAAAATTGTAATTATCCGGTTGTTCGGAAAGTCATTTCGTTTTTTCCCGACAAAGGATTTAATTGTATTCTTTTGCACCCAACTTCACATTTAAGCCTTATATTTTTATATGTTTTGAGAGCTCATATAGCAAGGCTTGTGTGTGAAAAATTCCAATTAATTCTACGCAGTAGTTTTTGGTTGGTGCCCTTTTAAATATGGAGAGCGATAAGCAGCATTTTCGACATATCTTACTGTTTTACTACAGAAAGGGTAAAAATGCTGTTCAAGCCAGAAAGAAATTGACTGATGTGTATGGAGAAGGTGTGTTGACAGTACGCCAGTGCCAGAACTGGTTCGCTAAATTTCTATCCGGCAATTTTGATGTCGAAGATGCACCACGTTCAGGAAGGCCGGTTGATGCTGATAAAGACGCGATAAAGGCATTAGTTGATGTGAACCGGCGAATAACAACATGTGAAATCGGATTGAGGTTAAATTTATCAAATTCAACAGTTTATGACCACTTGAAAGGCCTGGGATTATCATCGAAGCGCGATGTATGGGTTCTCCATGTTCTCACAGAGAGAAATCTGTGTCGCCGCATTGACGTCTGCGATTCGCTTCTCAAACGTCACGAAAATGATCCGTTTTTGAAGCGCATCATCACTGGGGGGCGAAAAATGGGTTGTATACAACAACGTCAAACGCAAGAGGTCATGGAGCAAAAAAGAGGAACCGGCTCAAACCATTTCCAAAGCCGATATTCACCAAAAAAAGGTGATGCTGTCTGTTTGGTGGGATTTTAAAGGAATCGTTTTTTTTTTGAGCTTTTACCGGATTACACAACGATTAATTCGGAAGTCTACTGGCATCAGCTGGACAAACTGAATGATGCACTTCAACAGAAAAGGTCAGAACTAATCAACAGGAAAGGTGTAGTGTTTCACCAAGACAACGCGAGACCTCACACAAGTTTGGTCACTCGCCAAAAGCTTTTACAGCTTGAATGGGATACAATGCTACACCCACCATATTCTCCAGACCTGGCACCATCGGATTATTATTTGTTCCGGTCACTCCAAAATTTTTTAGACGGTAAAACCTTCACCTCAAATGAGGAGGTCAAAAACCTCCTCGATCAGTTTTTTGCCAGCCAGACTAAAAATTTTATGAGCGTGGAATTATGCTACTACCAGAAAGATGGCAAAAGGTGTTGGACCAGAACGGTCAATATATAATTTAATAAAGTATTTGTTTATTATACGAAAACTGTCTTTCATTTCCATAAAAAAAAAAACGAAATGACTTTCCGAACAACCCTATATAATAAGGGATTGTTTACAAAGGAGTGTTAGGAAGGAAACACACCCAATCCATCCAACTATTCTAACCAAATTTTAATAAATTATCATTATTATTATAAGTAAATTACGCTAGCAAGATTACTATTTATAGAGAAGAGTAGAAACCTAAACCGAAGTCAACGAGTTTACTATACAAAGATTCGTGCATAGGAGGTAAGGACAGAAAATGGAAGAGTTGCTGTGTGATAAACAACTGCACATCAATTTCGGTATTGCCTATTGTCAAATACAAAATATAATTAAAGGAGTATTCGTTTCCCAAAAACGGTTGTATGCGATCCTTATAGTATAAAAAGCAATCGAAGCTAAAAGTTCCATGGGCTGGCGTCAAATCGGATGAGCGCAGCTTTACCGCGCAACGACTTTTAAGTCATCTTCTTCGAGAACAATTTGGGACTGCGGCTGACATCCTCAGTGGTAGTGCTGCTTTGAAAACGTGAACGTAGATTATATCTCGAAGTCTCGACCCTATAACTTAGACCACGGTCCTATAGCCCGAATCTTCATTCTACTATGGATTCCGGCAGTGAAAGCCTTTGTTCCTAATTACAATGTATAATCCAGTTTCATTGTAGGTTTTAATTATGAATAATCATTCTCACTATTTTATGACAGTGACTTTACTACTGTTCCCTAATGACTTCCTTCTTTGTATCAAAATAAAACGAAGAAGAAATTGGATCTTGCATTCACATTCACTGATTTTTTAGTTCAACACATATCTGCAGTAACTAGTTTTATGTATATGTGCAGCAGATAATTATTCTACATTGTAGATATAATTACTTCTTACGGCAAATATAAATAAAGAACGAATTTCCGTTTACGTAGTAATCGCACTATAAAATGTCAAAACCATGTTAAATTATTTATTGCCAATTAAACTGGTTGAAGTCGTTTTAATTTCAAAATTTTATGTAATATCTAATCTTTTTACATTTTCTGCTTTCGTTTCAAATATTTTCGGAAAGTCTTTTGTTTAAGAACAATAGGGAAAGGATGTGACAGACGGCAATGTTTTCCTAATATTTATACATTAGATATACTCTTTATTTAAACAAACAGTTCTGCTAAAATAAACTTATAACAAAATTAAAAAACAATTAACAACAATATCAACAATTCTTTAAACAAAACAAAAATATACTTCTAAATATCTTACTACATACAACAATTGAAGTCTTTTCTATCATATTATTAATTATAATAAATTAGACTAAAATGGTGCGCTCACATTGCCATCTGGATAATCGCTCTTAATCAGATCACTTGCTTTTTCTGCTATCATAATAACTGGAGCATTAGTATTACCCCTTACAATGAGTGGCATTATGGAAGCATCCACGACTCTCAGCTTGTTGACTCCATAAACTTTCAGCGTGGGATCCACGACAGCAGTCGGATCACTGCTAGGTCCCATTTTACAAGCACCAGCAGGATGGAAGATGGTCGTGGTATAAGACTGAGCCACGCAAGTCCAATACTCGTCAGATCCAAATGCACATTGTTGACAAGCGGGTAAAGGGGTTGTTACGAGATTAACACCGATACTTCTAAAGGAATTCGTTTGTAACAAATTAAGACTTTGCTTGACTCCTTCTACCATTCTTAAAAGATCAATGGGATCGGAGAAAGTATTTGAAAATACAAGAGGAGGTGAAGTTACAGGATCCGTGGCGTTCAACATAATCCTGCCTCTACTGGCTGGATTAAGAAGAATGGGCCTGACCATAAGACCCGTATAATAAGCTAATGGATTAACATTAGTCATGGCTGTTAGGAGAGGGTCTGTGAAATAATCTTGAACATTCACTCTGTCGAAGGAATATTGGATATCGGGTCGATCAGCAGACGTTTCGTACCTCGTTTGAACCATCGCATTAGCCTGAAGAGGTCCTGTGGCTGAAAGGGGACCAGTCCTTTGACTTTGATAAAGTCGAGCATCGTTCGCCCTCTGATTGTAATCCACATTTGTAATGGTGGCATTCGAAAGGGCAAATACAACTCCATCAATGGTTGTATGATCTTGCAAGTTGAATCCAACTCTCAGATTCTGTATAACTGGGATGCCCAACTGAGATAAATGTTCGGCAGGACCGACGCCACTCACCATTAGTATTTTGGCACTGTACGCACCTCCGGCTGATAAGATTACTTCTCTTCTTGCAAAAACAGTTCGTCGAACTCCGGTCTGGTCAATATATTCGACTCCATTCGCTTCTTTCCTGTTAGGATCAATGATTACACGAGTGACATACGAATTGGTCCTGATAACGAGATTTGGTCTTTGATTCCGAATTGGTCGGATAAATGCGGCATTCGTGCTCACTCTTTCACCATTGCCTGTCGTGGTTTGTAAAATAGCCACACCTAGTTGAGTCCGACCCGCATTTTGGTCAACCAGAGGCATTCCAAGTTGACGGAAAGCGTTAATAATTGCCCAAACATTTGGATCTTGATACTGTTGAATTGATACGGTTTGATAACCGTTGAAACCGTGGAACTGTGGGTTTATATAATTTGGACTTCTGTTATTTTCTGATTTCCTGAAATAAGGAAGAATCTCGTTATAGCTCCATCCGGGATTGCCCAGGGCTGCCCATTCATTGTAATCATCTGGAGTGCCTCTAATGTAGATCATGTAGTTGATAGTGGATGAGCCGCCCATGACTCGGCCGTGACCCCAATAACACTGCCTGTTTGGTCTAGCAAGACAGCTTTGGGTCTGTGGCTGAGTTAACGTTGCCCAATCGATGTTTGATCTTTGTAACAATGGAGCAAATGATGGGGCACTTGTGACATCCGGCTCTTCAGGACCTGCTTCGAGAAGAAGTACCTAATTCATAAAAAAACATAGGTTAACTGTTGCAATTGGGCTCTCTGTAATATTTAAGAAACGAATCATCTTACATCCTCAGTTTGTGATATATGTATAATTATTTAAACGTTTAAATTTTTGAAGTCAATCTACCGTTATTTTGAAAAATGTTTCACCATCATGTGATCCGCGTAACCAAAATTTATTATTTAGTAGTTGCATACTTTTTGGATGTTGTTCATACACTTCTTCTACCACACTTCGGTTAGGTAATCAATAAGTATGGACAAAAAATTTTAAAAATAAATTTTAACTTATTAAGTACCAAATGTTTTACAAGGACAGTAGAAAGCATGAAATTGTTTATACTTTGTAATTAATTAATAAATTTCTCTATTCCAACTCCGTGACATTATTTTGTCATATGAACCGTTGCGTTATACGAATCAATAATTGCACGGTAGCATAATTAAGCGATTAATTTATTATTTTTTTATTAATCAACCTTCGTGGACTTCTCACAAGCCTAAAAAACTTCAGCCTTGGAACAACGGTGTCCGCAGAAGAATTAAGCTCTCTATTGTGCCTACAAGCCTACGAGGGTGGATTGATAAGTTTCCGGCCTGACCAAGAAAAACAAGGTTTTTAAAAATTTTTTTTTTTTATTTCTCAACATAATCTCCTCCAAGGCTGATACATTTCTCATAGCGGTGTTCCAGTCTATTAATGCCATCTCTATAGACTGATTCGTCAAGCTCCTCAAAATAACCATTTACAGCTTCGATTACTTCTTCATTGTCCGCAAATCTCT